ATAATCCTAAGTGACTTAAGTGTCTGTGTGGAAGACAGCAAACATTATGTCTTATAGTTTTTTAAACTTCCTGAGATCCAGTGACGTTCATTTCCAAGCTACTTTATATATTTAACTTCCATGGCTACAGCTGAGACCTTCTCAAGTCCTAAGTCTCATAGTCTTACCATTCTTTCGTTTCCCTCCTTTCACTGCAGTTGTTCTTCACCATCTTTCATATGTAATATTTCTTGATACTGCCATGTTTTCCTAGCCCCTTCTCAGCATCTTTTATTTTTTTTTACATAATTTGGACCTTTGAGCTGTTGTTCTCAGTAGCATATTCTGTTCCTTCTTTTACCCATACCCTTTCACTGACTCAACCAGCAAAACTCAGCTTTATGTGTAATCAGTGCAACCCTCTCTGCTGGTTCTGACAAGGGGAATTGAGCTGAGCACTGCTGAAGGCAGCCGCAATACCTCATAGAATGCTATACCACAAATTCAGGCTCCCAACCTGTGCTGGGCCTTTCTTTGTGTCTGCTCATCTTTAAATGCTGTCCTCTCATCTTCTTCACTAGCAATTCCTAATCTATACTTGCTTACTCAAACACCTCACTGTCCTCTACCCCTGTATCTGAAAATCTTGTGATCATCAGACTTTGTCTTCCTTAATATTCATCCTCAAATGCCTTTCCTTTGATTGCAAGGGGTGTCGTGTTACTCATATCCATCCTCCGGTACTGATGACTATATCTCCTCCCAGCCTCTTTAGGATATTGCTTCATCAGTCACTTTCTCTATTTGGTATTTTCAACTTTTCCCTCTCTCCAACCCCCTTTGCTCAGCTTAAACATCTATTCTTATCTCCTTTCTTAGGAAAAACAATATCCTCCCTTAAGCCTATGTACTGCTTCGGTTACCATTTGTATCTACTTTCCAATCAAATTTTTTGAAAAGTAGTCTACACATTTTTTGCTTATTTCTGTACGTGTAGTTTTCTCTTTAGCCCATCACAGCTTGCTTTCTCTACCATTGCTGAAACTGCTCACTGAGGCATCAATGACTGCTTCATTTTCAAGCTCCATACATGTTTTCAACCCTTTTCTTAATGGGTCTCTCTTTTCTTCTGACAGTGTTGGTTCTTTGTTAGTTATTCTCTACTCCCTTGAAACCTTTATTCCTTGCCTCTGTGGCATTGCTCTTCCTGGGATCTCCTGATGCCTCATTCCATATTCTCTAGCTCTTGTGTTTGTTGTTTTACCTTTATAGGTCCCTTAAGTGCTGCTGCTCCGAAGTTTCTTTCTCAAACCACCTCTCTTTTCACTATGCACAGAGGTTCCTAACTTTTTGGTTAAGACTCCTCAAGCAATCTGTTGAAAATTCTGGAATCTTTCCTTTTCAAAATATAGGTAGGTGTATACACACAAAATTTAGTGTAAAATTTCATAATGCACCAGAAGCCGTATTAAGAATCTGCCATATGCATTCTAGTTTGCAATGTTTACTCTCGTGGTTTCATTTGTCTCTTTTAAACAAATGAATTCCAGATCTTTTAAGTTCATCTTGGCCTCCCTCCTTAATTTAAGATACATATTCTTTCTGCGGGACTTCTTCCCCCATGGTGGCTCAGTGGTAGAGAATCCGCCTGCAGTGCAGGAGATATGGAGATGCAGGTTCGATCCGTAGGTCAGGAAGATCCCCTGGAGGAGGACTGGCAACCCACTCCAGTAATCTTGCCCAGAAAGTCCCATAGACAGAGGAGCCTGGAGGGCTACAGTCCAATAGGGTCACAGAGAGTCAGACAGGACTCAGCAACTAAAACAACAGCAATTCTTTCTGCTCCCTTTCATTGCCTGGGTTTAACTCCTCATGACCTTTCATAGACCACTGTAACAGCTTTTAACTCTCCTCCCTGCCCTCAAGCTGTGACCTTTAGATACTCCATGGAATGTGAAAGTGAAAGTCGCTCAGTCATCGGACTCTTTGCAACCCCATGGACTTTACAGTCTATGGAATTCTCTAGGCCAGAATACTGGAATGGGTAGCCTTTCCCTTCTCCAGGGGATCTTCCCAACTAACGGATCAATCCCAGGTCTCCCACGTTGCAGGCGAATTCTTTACCAGCTGAGCCACAAGGAAAGCCCAACCACCGATAATTTACTGTTCTGACTTTTCAGCTCCAACTTCTGATTCTCTGTTTCCTATGGAAATGGTTCAAACTCTGGCACGGTACACAAGCCTCCTGTCAGGAAGTTCATTACTATTCTATCTAGTATCTTTGAGACCTTTCCCATCCATTTCTGCTCTACTAGTTGGAGAAGGAAATGGCAACCCTCTCCAGTGTTCTTGCCTGGAGAATTCCAGGGACGGGGGAGTCTGGTGGGCTGCTGTCTCTGGGGTTGCACAGAGTCGGAGACGACTGAAGCGACTTAGCAGCAGCAGCAGCAGTGAGGGCAGACAGATTAACTTAAATAGGATTTGACTATCTCTACCTTCCCTTACTCTCTGCCTATCTCTTTAAAACAAAATATTTTTTTTATTTGGTTATGCTGGGTCTGAGTTGTGATATGCAGGATCTTTTTTCAGTTGCAACATGTAGGATCTAGTTTCCTGACCAGGATTCGAACCCAGGCCCCTTGCTTTGGGAGTGCAGAGTCTTAGCCACTGGACCACCAGGGAAGTCCCTCTTCGTATATTTACCTTATCATGTTGGTGGCATCAAACTTGCAGTTCTTTATACCCTTACTTACCTTGGTTCACACCATCCTCCCTGCGTGGACCACTGTTCCAATCCCTGCATTCACTCACTGACAGTTACCCTGCAAAAACTCCTACATACCTTACAGATTCAACGCCACTCCCACCCCACACTTTCCCACACCTTCCCCTCTTTCTTAGGGACTCTTCCTGTGCCTACCATAATCTGTGCATTGCTCCATTGTATACTTTAACTTGAAGTCCTTTTCTCAGTGCTGTCAGAATTGAGAGGTGAGCTCTTAATTGAAAGATTTGGTTAAAGATAGAATTAGAAAAATTATACTTATGTACCTAAAACATTTTATTTCAACTTAAAACATATAAATATATTCGTTTGCCAGTTTTCCCATGTATTACCAAGGCGTTTTCTTTGAGTATGGGTACTTGATTGGAATTCATTGTTCATTCTTAATTATACCAAATGTGGAATGCATCCTCTAAATTTCTAGTTTGGGTTTAAAAGAAAGAACATAAGCCACTTGAGCAACAGTCTGAGTGCAGAATCCTTGGTTTGTATGATTTTTTTCCCCTCAGCCAATCTTTTCAGTTGTATTGCCTATAACTAGTTCAATAGTATATATTTTCATATAAAGACTTGCCTTTATAGTCTTTGCAAGTCTTTATAAAGTCTACATCATAGAAATAACAGTTATCTTTTTTAACTTACCTTTTACTGATTTGGTTTGTGTTGTATTAAAGTATGTATTTATGATACATGAATGTGGTTTGTGAATTTACACACAACTGATAGGAATAGAGATGTTTCATAATAAGCATGCTGTAGTCAGTGTTTTATAGAGGGAGTAGACATTGTGTCATTTAATCTGGCAAGTTGAATGGTGCTTGGTTAAGAGTTTCTACTGTAATTATTGTTACTGGTTATCTCCCTTTATTGCAAGATAAGTTCTTACAGGGCAAGGATTATATATATTTTCATTTTTTGTGTATCTAACCTTTGTCTATGCATGGTGCCTACTACTTAGTAGAAATTCAATATGTATTTATTGGTGAATGAACAAATTCTTATGTAGGTCATAGTAAATTTGAATAATCAGAAAGAACACTGTACTGGGAATCAGTAGTATAGATAGATCTTTGGCCCTAGAGTTGAACTGGGGTTTGAAGTTTTCTTCATTTGTATCTTTGAGTTTTCCTCATTTATATTCTTCGGATTCCCTGGTGGCTCAGTGGTAAAGAATCCGCCTGCCAATGCAGGAGATGCAGGTTCGATCCCTGGTTCTGGAAGATCCCCTGGAGAAGGAAGTGGCAACCCACTCCAGTATTCTTGCCTGGGAAATACCATAGACAGGGTACCCTGGTGGGCGATAGTCTGTGGGCTTGCCAAAGAGTTAGATGTGACTGACCGACTAAACAACAACTACATTCTTGGACAGATTACTTTCCCTTTTTCTTTTGAGGATTGAGGATAGCAACAGCCATTGGGTTGTGAGAGGATTAAGTGGGAATGTGAAGTGTCCAGCATAAGTACCTGACATAGTAAGCAGTTACCAAGTGCTGATCGTCTGATGATGCTTATCACTAACAAAGAGAATGTGGGCATTCACTTGGTCCAACTTTTCTCTTCAAGAGACTTGAACTATATAATCTGTGAGTTTCCTTTTAGATGCTCTAAAGTTTTCTTTCTATAAACAGTATTTCATGTTTTGGACAGATTTATGTAACAAATATATGGATAATCCTTGATTTGTCACATTTGCTGACTCAATAAAGTAGATAATTAATTAGGTGATCATAACCTTACACCTTGTGAAACAGTTACTTTAGGCTTTGGAACATTTATTTGTTAGTGAGTTGAACTTGAATAAAGTGGGAAGAACGGCCCAGCTCCACTAATCACTGTCATGCTGTTTATATAAGAGCTAAGGTAGGAGATAGAGAAGGAAGTCTGAGGAGGTTGTTTGGAAGCATTAAGCATTAGAAGGGAGATAATATAAACTCTTGAAACTAAATTTATGGACAAACTAGACTTTTTGAACCATAAATATGTATTTGTTACAATTAAAAAACTAGGTTTTGAGTTTTCATGTTGATCACATTTTCTTCCTGATTAAAAGATGGGGATAGGGAGAGAAAGATGGAAACAAAACACTTTTTTTTGGAATGGCTCTGGGGTTATTTTCCAGTGTACATGCCAAATTTTGGTTTGTTTAAAGAAATACATGAATTAGCAGAATTCCTTTCAGTATTCATTCCACAGCTGATGTTATTACTTAGTTTTTATATTTCAGTTCTCATTTAGTATGGAAGAAGATGAGTTCTTTGGAGAAAAAACATTCCAGCATTATTGTGCAGAATTCATTAAACATTCACAGAAGATAGGTGATGGTTGGGAATGGAGAGCTTCAAAGGTAAGAATTTCATTTTCTATTTCGATGGAGGTTTTTATTTTTCCCTACTTAAAACCTCAGTAATTGAAAGTAATGTATGAAAGCTAGTTTGATTTAGTAAAAGACTTAAATTGAAAAATGTTTTAAAACAGATGTCCATTTTATTACTTTAGCTTTATATACCCATTATAATTAGGCTAATGAAGTATTATCTAGAAAAGTCCTTAGGTGACCTGCTTTAATTTAGTAGATAAGAGTGCTTAGCATATTAATTATCTAAATGTAAACAGATACTTCTGTGGTGCTTCAAACCATTTGTTTATACTATTAATTTTCTTAGGAAACTACTTTTGTCCAGAGAGTGAAAAGATAATCCAGACATCAAACCATGGTCAAATAATCACACCTTGTGAATTATAGAGGACTGTTCAGTTCAGTTGTTCAGTCATGTCCGACTCTTTGTGACCCCATGGACTGCAGCACGCCAGGCTTCCTGGTCCATCACCAACTCCTGGAGCTTACTCAAATTCATGTCCATCGAGTCAGTGATGCCATCCAACTATCTTATCTTCTGTCGTCCCTTTCTCCTCCTGCTTCAGTCTTTCCCAGCATCAGTGAATCTGTTCTTTGCATCAGGTGGGCAACGTATTGGAGTTTCAGCTTCAGCGTCAGTCCTTCCAATGAATATTCAAGACTGATTTCCTTTAGGATTGACTGGTTTGATCTCCTTGCAGTCCAAGGGACTCTCACAAGTCTTCTTCAGTACTATAGTTCAAAACCATCAGTTCTTTGGTGCTCAGCTTTCTTTATAGTCCAACTCTTACATCCATACATGACCACTGGAAAAACCATAGCTTTGGAAGACTATATCTTTGGGAATTTCTTAATATAAACACATTCCAAAACATTCTTTCTTTTGGTTCTGTTCAGTAATATTAATAGTAACGTAAAAAGTCTGTATACTCATTTATTTCCACACATGTATTTAGTAAGATTCTCTGCCAAAAGCTCTTTAAGAGGTCTTTGAAATCCCTGTTTTAGAGAATAAGTAAGTTTTTTCTACTTGATGTTTTATCTGATTTGTGAAAAAGTGGTAAAATCTTGTGTCTCTGTTGATTAGCTCTGTTTCCTGTATGAAATCTGAGAAATGTGAACATTTTTGAGCTGATTCTTATGATTCAGAACTAGAGGCCAGGGAAATGCAGGTCTTGATCAGGTTCAGATTGTCACTGGGGAGAGAAGCCATGATTTCCTCTTGGGTCGTATGTCAGCTAAGCTTTGGCAGGGAGTTCATGTCAGGGTTCAGAGGTGTAGAGTCAATTTCTTGTGGTAGATTCCAGCCCTACTCTCTAAGTTAGTGATAGGACAGTTCATAAACCCTTAAGGTGTCTCTTGATCTAGGATAATATGATCTTAATAGCACCTTTTATTATTTTTGGTGCTGAGTATTTTATAACTTTGCTTTCTGTTATGTTTGAATTTCTAATCTATTTCTTCTATGATTATTATCAACATATAAAGGAACTACTAATTTTTATATATTACTTTTATAACCATTCATCTTAATAAATTCTCCTTCTAATTTTCATAATTTTTCAGTAATTTCTGTTGCGTATTCTAAGTAGAATGAGGCTATCTACAAATGGGGAGTTTTTTATTGCCTTCTTTGTAATATTTCTTCCTATTATTTTTGTGAATTGAGTAGAAAACTGTTAATAGTAATAACAGATCTCTTTGTCTTCTTCCTGATTTTAATGTTAATGCTTCTGATACAAAATGGTTAAAATGTTGGTTGTTTATTCATTGGATGAGAATAGGTTTCTGACCCATTTTGTCCTGTAATAATTTGTGTGATTATACTTTGGGAACTTTCCCTTTTCACCAGGTTAAAAAAAAAACAAAAGAATTTTTTCTTTTATCTTAAGGTGGAGGCTGAATAATAGATTCCTGTACCATTTCAGGGGCCTAGTAGAGTTGGGGAGGGGAAGGTTAGAGAGGAAGTTGGGTGTGGGGGTGTGGGTGTGTGGGTGTGTGTGTATGTGTATCTGTATGTGTTTGTGTGTGTAGGGGGGCGTTGGGGAAGATCTCCAGGGGGGGAATTATATGTCAGAAGTTTCTTCACTGAATTTGTTGAAAGTAGTGCCATAAGGGCCAGTTTCCAGGATTTGTTTTTATTCTTGGCCTTCCTTGCCTCTACTTCAAGGATGGGTATGGCTAAGTCTAGTTTCTTGTTTGCTGCCACTTCCTGCTGAGTTAGAAAAGCTGCCTACCCTTTGGAGTGAGAATTATGCGTCTAATTAAGGACTATTCTCTTTAATGTGGGCATGAGCCTATATATAGTATCAAAAAAATCCAAAAACATTCATCAGAGAAAATCTTTACAGCCTTAGGGTAAGGATTGCAAACTCAAGAGTCTGTGAAGACCTGGTGGGGTAATGTAGCTGGGTCAAGCTGCTAAGGACAAGACCGTGTGGACACTGAATCGGGGCCTATGGCTGACAGGTTAGAAACGTGGGCCCAGGAGTTTACCAAATCTTCCAAGAGAAGTAAAGAAGATGCAGGGTAATATCTAAAATTTTAAATGTTGGCAACTAATTTAAAAAGATACTTTTCAAAGACAGTGAGGACTGAACCCACATGCCACAGCTCTGTGTGGCCAGTGGGTGACTTCTGGGATTGGGTGTTTGCCTGGTGTTGACTGGTTTCTCACCTTGCCTCAATGCATGCTGTTGATCTGAATTAGGATAAAGGACTCCAGGCAAAGAGATCCTTCTCTACTGTATTTTAGAATGTTAGTATTTTTGCTACTTAATTTCTGCAGTCTTATACCCTATTTAAGAAGGAAATCGTGAATCAGTTACTTCGTTACCTCCTTTAAACCTTCCATCCTTATTACATCTCAGGCTTTGTGGAACTGTTTGGAAACAATACTTAAACTTTTACTTTTTAGGCTCCAGAAATTAATTTTTGTATTAAAAATAGTTTTATTGGTATACAATTGACAAACAATATACTGCACATATATAAAGTGTATAATTTGATAAATTTTGACATATGTACAGACCTTGAACCTTCACCACAATCATGAGAGTGAGCATATCTATCATCCCCAAAAGGTTTCTTATATAACTTTTTAGTGCCTCTCTCTGCCCCTTCTTGCCCCTCATTTTTAAAAAGACCTATGTTTATCCCTATGTAAAGAGACTTCTTTAAAGAATATGTATACTGTCACTCATATTTTCAGGTTTGTTCACAAACCACTTTGGTACCACCCTTTTTATCTTTTAATATTTAGAGAATTGGTGTAATTCAACATTTTAGGTAAGGCAAAATATCATTATTTCTGCAGAGTTCGTGAGAAAAGCAATGTGAATGAAACATATAGATAATTTAATATTTTAAAAGAAAGAAATTTCTTAAAATAGTCAAAATGTCCTAGTTTTTTATATCTGGAGGTATGCAGATTAAGGAGAATGCTTCTAAATCAGTATTTTTTTGGTGGGGCTTAATTCTATTGGCATCTGGTCAGGACCGTTCTTGTTTTCCTACTCCTAACATCTCCAAACCCCTCAGAAGGTTGGTATACTCTTCCTAAGAGCCATTGTTTAATGTGATGGTGTATCAGATATTAAAGATAGTGGTTAAGATCATAGGCTTCAGAGTTAGATAGGGCTGAGTGTAAATTCTTGCTCTACCATTATTTCCTTTGCCATAGTCCTCTACTAGCTGGATTTTAGACAATTTACTTAATGTAGCCAAACTTCATTTTCTTTACCTATAAAATAGGAATAACAATAATACCCAACATGGTTGTTGTATGGATTAAATGAGATTTGCATTCTAAAAGTTTAGTGTAGTTTCTGGCATATGGACAGTTATTATATGATTATCATTTTTAGTTGGTTGATTGAAATTTTCAGTGTCTTTTGCTAGATAAATAATGCTATGAATGAAATTGTAGTTAGGTTTTCAGAAAACTTGATGAAAGTCTATTAGCACCAAGTATACTGGATTGGTCTGAATGAAATTCTAGTTAGGTTTTCAGAAAACTATATGAAAACTATATCTGTAGTATTGGTATATTGAGGCTTCCCTGTAGCTCAGCTGGTAAAGAATCCGCCCGCAATGCAGGAGACCCTGGTTTGATTCCTGGGTCAGGAAGACCCCTGGAGAAGGAGCAGGCTACCCGTTCAGTATTCTTGGGCTTCCCTAGTGGCTCAGATGGTAAAGAATCTGCCTGCAGTACAGGAGACCTGGATTGTATCTCTGAGTTGGGAAGATCCCCTGGAGGAGGGCATGGCAACCCACTCCACTGTTCTTGCCTGGAGAATTCCCATGGACAGAGGAGCCAGGAGGGCTACAGTTCATGGGGTTGCAAAGAGTCAGATGCAACTAAGCATAGCACAGAGCACTGATATATTATTCTGAATTTTCTATAATAAGAAAGGGGAGCAGAAGATGGTAAATAACAATGAATGCAATGGTTTGAAACCCATTAAAGGGTTACCTTGTTTTATTGCACTTTGTAGATATTGTATATTTTACAAATTTAAGGTTTGTGGCAACCCTGTGTTGAGCAAGTCTATCAGTGCCAATTTTTCAACAGCCTTTGCTCACTTCATGTCTCTATGTTACATTTCGATAATCTTCACAGTATTTCACATTTTTTCATTATTATTATATTTGTTATGGTGATCTGTGATCAGTGAGCTTTGATTTAGTATTGTGGTTATTTTGGAGTGTCACAAACCCTGCCCATTAACAGTGAACTTAAGAATGTGTGTGTCCTGACTGGCCATTGCCCTATCTCTGTCCCTCTCCTCAGGCCTCTGTATTCCCAGAGACATTGCAATATTGAAATTAGACCAATTAACAACATTAACAATGGCCTCTAAGTGTTCAAGTGAAAGTAAGCATTGCCTCACTTTAAATCAGAAACTGGAAATGATTAAGCTTAGTGAAGAAGGCATATCAAAACCTGAGACAGGTCAAAATTTAGGCCTCTTACACCAAACAGTTAG